AGTTTAGAGCAGAAAAAGCCATCAGAGAAAAAGTTACAACAGGAGACTGCTACTAACACCTTTGTATCACCAAAGGGCATAAGTGTCCAACCAATAGCGCCACCTCGACAGGAGACTGCTACTAACACCTTTCTTTCACCATAGGACATAAGTGTCCAACCAACAGCACCACCTCCATATGCTGGGAGGCCCTCAACCCCTGCAGTTGATTGATGGGATCCTGAGACAAGATCTCAAATATTAACATGCCCTGTATTTGAGCAGGCAGGAGGGCAGCGAATTCACCATGCTTTAGATTTCAAAAAAGTGAAGCAGCTAAAAGAGGCTGTAACAACCTATGGTCCTCAAGCACCCTTCACTGTAAGCATGGTCGAATCCATTACCAACATGAACGTGACGCCAGAAGATTGGGCTAATATGTGTAAAGCTGTGCTAAATGGAGGACAATACCTGTTATGGAAGGTTGCCAATGAGGAATTTTGCAAGGAGTCAGCTAGGCGAAATGCAGCAGCTGGTTATCCTCAGAGAAATCTAGATATGTTGTTAGGAAAGGGACCTTATGAGGATCAGCAGCAACAAATTGCATATGATCCTGGCGCATACTTACAAATTGCTGTAGATGTGGTTAGGGCATGGAAGACTTTACAAGGACATGGAGGTTTACAAGGTCAATGATCTAAGGTAATACAAGGAGCTAATAAACCTTACGCTGAATTTGTAGATAGGCTTATTCAAACAGCTACCAGAATTTTTGGGAATACATAACAAGCAATGCCATTAATAAAACAACTGGCTTATGAGCAAGCGAATCTTTGGTGCAGAGAAGTCATTAGACCATGGAAACATGAAGATTTAAACACATATATTAAATTATGTAGAGACATTAATGAACAAGGGCAAGTCTTGGCAGCTGCAGTACAACAGGCTTTAGATGCCAGGCCAAAAACATGCTACAGTTGTGAACAAACAGGACATTTCAAAAGGAATTGCCCCATAGGAGGAGGGATTAATAAAACTAGGTATCAAAGGAGTAGAATACAAGGTATTTTCCCACAATGCCATAGAGGGAGACATTGGGCTAATGAATGCCATTCTCAAACCACCATAGAGGGTACTCCATTATCAAAAAATGAACAAGGACCAGGTGTCTATCCACGATATCATGGAGAAAGGCATCGGGCTCCATTGCTAAAAAATGGACTGGGGTGCCCAATCCTCCGGGGCCCAAGACCACAAATATACAGAGCACTGGAGGAACCCAGCAACCCCATCAGGATAGTGCCAAGGACACATTGTCCATTAAATCCCTCACTAGACAAACCAGAAGAAGTGCAGGATTGGACATCTGCACCTCCGCCAGAACAGTACTAACTCCAGAGATGGGAGTTAAAATCATTTCCACAGGGGTAAAAGGACCTCTTCCCAAAGGAACAGTAGGCTTGTTATTGGGATGCAGTTCTTCTACTCTAAAAGGACTTATGATAAGTCCTGGAATAATTGATCCCGATTATGAAGGTGAAATAAAAATTATAGCCAGTTCTCCAAAGGGTATATCAGTAATTTCACCAGGAAATAGAATAGCACAGTTACTAATAATACCCAGCCTACATGATAAATTTTCCAGTCGTACTGTAGAAAGAAGTTCCAAGGGATTAGGCTCCACAGGTGTAGATTGGGCTATGATTTCTTTAAATTTAGATTCTCGCCCCATGCTAAAACTAAATATTCAAGGACATGAATTTAATGGGCTACTGGATACAGGTGCAGATCTTAGCATCATCTCTCATCAAGAATGGCCAAAACATTGGCCATTACAACAAGCCACTCAAACGCTTTGAGGCCTAGGAGTGGTGACCAATCCCCATAGAAGTGCAATGGTATTAGATTGGAAGGATCCTGTAGGATGTGAAGGAACTATACAGCCATATGTATTGGATCATCTTCCCGTAAATTTATGGGGACGAGATGTCCTAGATCAATTAGGACTAACATTAACAAATAACATCAATCCAAATGCGCCCACTATTATGGCTAGACAAGGTTTTAGGAAAGGATAAAGATTAGAAGAACAAGAACAAGGTATAGCAGCACCAATACAAATAGATCAAGGAACAGACAGACATGGGTTGGATTTTCAGAAGGGTTCACTGAGACAATAAAAATTACTTGGAAATCAGAAAGACCAGTATGGGTTCCTCAGTGGCCCATGACTAAAGAAAAGATACAAGCAGCCCATGACCTGGTCAAACAACAATTAGTGGAAGGACATATACAACCTTCTGTATCTCCCCATATTACTCCCATTTTTGTCATCAAAAAGAAATCTGGTAAATGGAGATTATTTCAAGATTTAAGAGCCATTAATAATGAGATGGTTATTATGGGACCTGCTCAATCGGGGATTCCTCAATTGTCTGCTTTGCCCAAAACCTGGTATGTTTTAGTTATTGATATTAAAGATTGTTTTTTTTTCAATTCCAATTCATCCTGAGGATAGTCCACATTTTGCATTTACTATCCCTGCACTGAATCATGAAGGTCCCGATCAGAGATATGAATGGAAAGTACTCCCTTAAGGGATGGCTAACAGCCCAACTATGTGTCAAATATATGTTAACAAAGTAATCCAGCCACTTAGAAATCAAAATCCTGAACTACAAATATTTCACTATATGGATGATGTATTATTAGCACACAAAGATAAAAACACATTGCTAGAATGGGGTATATATTTCCCTAAGATAAACTTAAAATAACTCTTTTACTCTAAACTTTTAAAATTTGGATTCATCAGGGGTTAGTGCTGTGGAAAGGCATATGTGTCCGAAAAATGTACATAAGCCCAAGGTACTTTGGAAGGATATTCTAACAGGAAATTGGAAAGGTCATGACCCAGTAATTGTCTGGAGTCAGGGGTCTGTTTGTGTGTTTCCACAGGGAGAACAGCAGCCGATTTGGATACCAGAAAGATTAACTAAAGCAATTTCTACAGACCAAAAAGAAGATGTCCATAACAACTGATATCCAAAACTCCAGTTTGGCTATCCTTAAATAAACTGTTATATAAACTTCAAGCTGCCAGCAAACTTCCAGCTGCCAAGTGATGATTGGCTCACAGCGGCCCCAGCAAACTTCTAGCTGCCAACTGATTGGCTCCTCTGCAGTCCTTTTCATTGGGCTGTTTCCCCACCATTTCAGACCATGGAGCTGCTCATTGGGGGACTTTTTTTTGGATCTGCCCACGCGACCCAGCCAATCAGCCTCAAGAGCAGGAGGAGTGGAGGAGGGTGAGAGGCTTGTGGGAAGCCGGTGGTGGCAGTTGGGCTCTGAGGGAATTCCTGAAGAACTCGTGTGGTGTGGCATGTGTGTTCTAAAAATAAAGTTCATTTCTGCTTGACAAGTGGCTCGTGAATTGTGCCCAGCCGCATTTTGAATATGTATACTGGTTTCTCAGACTGTACCCTGTTAACATGTACAGGTATTGTGTTTCAATTTGTGCTAAAGTTGTAGTTCAATTGTAGAGAGCTTGCCTAGCGTACACAAGGCTTTGGGCTTGAGACCCAGCCCTGCCCAAAAACCCAAAAACCAAAACATAATGAATAAATTGATGTCTGTTATTTAATAAATTTTTAAGACAGAAATAAAACCATAATCTCATGCCTTAAAGAAAAAAGCATATACTTGTACTAATTCAATCTATGCTGCCATTCTCTGTTTTATAAAATCTTAGGCTATTTTAAAGCTTTTCTTTATATATTATGCATACACACATGCTCTTACACTTTTATGCAAATGCATGAGTACAATCCTATGCACATCATAAATACTCTCTGCATTGGCACAGTATTCTTTTCTAGTTTATCCCCTCTAGTCTTCTACCACCATAAGTTTTCACTTCCTGTTCATGGAAATTGAAGCATACAGAGCCCTCTTCAGTTGTTTTTTCCACTGTATGTATCCTATATTCACGTGGCACCCCTCAATACCATGTCAGTGAGGTTGATCCATGTTGTGTGGTAACAGTGGCTGGTGCTGCCTTTTAGGGGCTTGAGCTCTTCTGTCAACAGCGCTTCTCCTGGGCCTGTGCAGCTGTGAACTGCCTCAGCATCTCTGCCTCCATATCGTGTCCACCCCCTTTGCTGCCCCGACCACTGATGAGACTGTTTCTGCTCCACTCTGCATGTAGGTGTGTTCATCTTTTGAGGAATGTTTTCCCCAAACTAGCAGCATGAATCTGATTTATCTGAAACCTCCCTCATCTCTTTCTTCCCCCTTCAAGGCTGATGATACCAAGATAAGACATTTTCAGGATTTGCAGGAGCTCCATGATCATCAGGTGGCCAGCGTGGGCCCATTGGAGAGATGTCTAGAAGTTTGGTCACCTGTCATTTCCTAACCTAACCCCCTTCTTTCCCGCTCACTTGAATATTGAAAGGAGCTCAAGTGTCTGCTGAGTTAAGGCAGTCTTTTAGGCTGCTAGCCCACTGTGAGCTCAGTAAATGATTTTTTCTCACCCCCAAAACTGCCCTTGATTCATTGGGCCCTTTTCAAGCAGGGGAGTAAACAGACTTGGGTTTGGTGGGAGATGTAAGACTTCCATGCTTTATGTTCTTTTCACTGATTACTGTAACAGTATAATTAACGAGTTCCAAAGAAACAATTCTATCATTGTATTTATGTCTAACCTGCCTGTGTATTTCCTAACCTCTTTCTTACCCAGTGCTTTGTGATGTTGTGGTGAACAGAGGCATGGTGATCTTTGAGACACTTTGGCTATTTCCTATTGCAAAAGTGATCTATCCCATTGCCTGAAGGCTTAAAAAATGTCCAAAGCAAAATTCATTCAAAAACTCATGACCCAGAGATAAACATTCCACATATGGAAAAATATGTATCTGCATTTTACTTAGAAAATTGAGAGGATGAACATATTTAATGGATTTTATTTAAAGTAAAAATTCTGATTTAAATTATTTTCAGAATGATAACAGTATTTTTACTAATGTAGCACAGAGCGTGGGGTTGGGTTCTTTCTCTCATAAATTTAAAGAATAAACTTCTATGGACCCAAGAATGAGAGCAAAGTAATAGGATTTGTTAGACTAATAGAAAGCAGGGCTCCTTAAGAGGGAGGGGTCCCAGAGAGGGTCACTGAAGTGTGGCTATTGTCTAGGGGTTTATATAGATATAGAGGTGTAAGGAAGTCAACCCCCTATCCACTCCTGGGCATGGCACGCAGTGTCCATGCAGCCTTCAGTCCAGTGAAAATGTCAATCAGGGATTTTTTCTTCCTTGCAGAGGCAAGGACCAGAGTCACATAGGTCCTGACTTAAAAATAGCCTTTTTGTAAGTTTCTTAGCAAATATCTGCAGGTTCTATTTGTACTCACTGCCCAGGAAGTGACCCAGGCCCATCTCCCTGTCAGCTCAGTCTTATCTCCTCCTCCTGTTTTCACTAACACATCTGTCATGACATTACCTGGGGATCTATTTTCTTGGTAATTTGGCCATGACTTCACCGTTACGAAATATTTAAGTGGAATACGGCATTCTTGGGAACCTTCCACATCCTGAATATTCCAAATCCCACATAGGGCATGCCATCTTCCTTGCAGACACCACAATATTTCCATAAAAACCTTTTATGTTTTCTATTCTTCTTCTTTTTTTGTTAAAAAGTTTAAAGTGCATTCAAGTCCTTTTAAATATTATTGATATGAGCATCGTGGCAGGCTGGTTTTCTTGCTTCTAGAATTTTTGCATGGAAGAAGCCTCATAGGAGGGGGTGCAGTAGAAGGATATTTAGCAAAGAAACTGAGGAATTGGGCTGCAGATGGCATCTGATGTTGAGTTTGCTCAGCACCAGGTCGGGCATGGACAGAATTCAGGTTCTGCAAGAGTTGAATGTCGATCATGTCCTCCAAGAATCCCTTCACATGGCCAACACGATGGATTTCTTGAAACACACAGCACAGAGTCTTTGTCCTGTCCTTATGGTTAAAAAGTGACCCAGTGGCGGTTCAGATTGTCCATGGGGAAGGAGGCTGTAGCTCAGATGGTCTTTCTAATCAGTCTGGAATGATAATTACTTAAAAATGACTTATAAGATTGTAGAAAAGTAACCTACAAGTTTTGTTTTAAAAAGGAAAGAAGAAAATTGTTATATAAATAGATTTTAGCTGCTTGGTTTACAAAAAAGGAATATGAGATGATGGGTAAGTTAATTTGCCTTATTACAGTAACCATTTTATTTTCTGTATGTATCCTATATTCACGTGGCACACTTCAAATATACACAGGGAATTTTAAAATTATATCTGTTAAACCTGTTGTGCCTGGGGTATGACCACTGGCATATCTTAGACACCATCCTGCTCCCTATTTTTTGAAATGTTTATTCAGCAAATAATAATCATATATGCTTATGGGGTTTAATCTCTCTCTCTCTTTCTCTCTCTCTCTCTCTCTCTCTCTCACACACACACACACACACACACTTCAAATGACGATTTCAATCACAAAATTGTCTTGACAGATGGATTTCTTAGGGCTTGACCAACAGGCTACATTGGATTTAATTTTGCTGATTTTCGTTTTTCTCAGAAGTCTCATCTTCCTACATTTCCTAACCCTTAAGTTACAGAAGACAAGAGCAGGTAAATGTGATGCAAAAACACACAAAAAATATATCTTTCAAAAGATGGATCTGAACCAGGTATAGTGGTCCATGCCTGTAATCCCAGTAGCTTGAGAGGCTGAGGCAGGAGGATTATGAGCTGAAAGCCATTTTCAGCAACAGTGAGGCGCTAAGCAACTCAGTGAGACCCTCTCTCTAAATAAAATACAGTGTGGGGGTGGGATGTGGGTGAGTGGTTGAGTGCCCCTGAGTTCAATCCCTGGTACCTCTCTGCCAAAAAAAAAAAAAGATGGATCTGATCTCCCCACTTCAGGGTGTGTGTTGGCTTCTGACCGAAAACACGAAGAACATTAAGGAAAGACTGCCATTGTTATCTATTGCCCATCACCTACTATTAAAAGACGGAGTGTTGAATTCTCTCTTTCCATATCTTCCCCGTCCCCAGGGAGTTATTTTTTCCTGCATCTGTGGAAGCTCGGCATACTTCTAGTGTTTTACAGGGGCAACCTCACTCGAGCCTTATGAATGCTGTGCTTCAGAAAATTATTCAGAACTGATTACAAGACAAATGTTTTGTTTTATTAAATGAGCCAAGGAAGGGATTCCAAAAGGAGAGGAAGATACTCCAACAACTCAAACCCTGGAGATGCCCAGTTTAAGGAGACACTGGAAGATAAAATGACATCAGGGAACCAACACAGCAGTCCAGTGCCCAAGATGGTAGAAACACCTGAATTTCCCCATCTGATGGCTTCCTATTTTCTAGACAGAAAGTTGATGTTTCTTTTCCTCAATGTGTATATCATTCCTAGGGGCTGTGGAGGAGGGAGGGGGTGGTGAATCTATTCAATTATCTAGAACATGAGGCAGATTTTGATGGCTCCATGAAAGAGAAAGCCAACCTATGTAATTGGTGTGATAGACAAAATAATGACCCCACCCCAAGACCAGGATGAGAGCAAGAGGACAGACAGTGCCCGTGGGCATCCAACAGTGTGTGTGGCTGCCAGTGTCCTCTTCCACCTGTCCTGGGAGAGTGGCCAGCTCAGAGCAGGACCCCACTGTGCTTGGGCCTGTCCCCCTTCCCCCAGACCAATGATGCCCCCCTCCCTCTATGGGAGGTCTCCCCTGCTTCCCCTGGATCTTGCCCTTACCTGGATGGTGTCCTTGGCCACAATTGGCTTGAAATCCCTGTGCAGATTGTTGACTTTTTCAAAGAAGTGGGAGAGGCTCTGGGGAGGTGTGATGAGGGGTCATGGGTGCATTGGAAGCTGAGGGCTAAGGGGTGGATACTCGGCATGCTAGGATTCCCACCTCCCTGACTTTACTGGGGCGCTCACCTGGCTGTTGACTTCAAGGGGCAGAGGCCTGGTGAAGAAGGCCTACAAGCCTCATATGGGAAGAAATGTGGGTGGTTCTTAGGAAAGTAGTGTTTTCCTCTGCTGAAAGCTGCTAAGAGAAGGGAACTGTATTCTGCCTGTAACCAGGGAGTTGGGAGGAGGGCAATGAGTCCCAGGTGAGACTGCAGCCCTGGCCAATGCAATTATTTCAGCCTTGAAGACCAGGTGCAAGGAACTTATCCCCCCTGTGCTGGGTTGCTGACCCACAGAAGTGTGAGGTAACAAATTTGTTTCACTTAAACAGCAACATTTGCATAAAACTGTTTTGCAGCAATTGATGCTGAAGGCAGCCTCTCACCTGCACGTTGTGGCTGGCCATGAGGATTGCATGGCTGCTGAGGCGGGTACAGTGGCAGGTGGTGCTGCCGTCTCTGGTGCCCAATGTCTTGCAGCCTGCAGTGGCCCAGTGACCACATCCATTCTGGCCATGGTCCCAAAAGACACAGAGCACTTCACGCTTTGGCTCAGAGGACACCAGCTATAGGAACATCACAGGGGTGTGAGCTGGTCTTTTTGTGCTTGGAGATTCTGATCCCTTAGGGCTGGAATGGGAAGGGCTGAATTTCCAGGATGGGGGGGCACTTGTGGGGAAACCTACTGAATCTCAAGTTTAAGACAGACAACAAGGTCGTGCCTGGGCCTGTGGCTCTTCCCACATCATGGTCCCCCACCTCCCACTCACAGGATGGGAGAAGGTGAAGGTAACTGGAGATCTGAGGTTCTGGGTGTTTTTGATTCTCAAAAAGGCTGAGATGACATCCGAGAGCAGGACATGTGACACTCTCAGCAGCGAGTCCTTGGGTTTCCCATGGGGAGCCACGTGCTTCTCAGGCTCCAGGACCAGGGGAGCCTCAGCCAGCAGCTTGTCCATCCCTGGGGTGGAGACCAAGCCCACCACAGAAGGGCCTGCAGGACGAGGCCATGGGTGAGTCTCAGAGTCTCCTCCAGGGCCTCCTCCTTAGATGGCCTCTCCTCCTTTTGAATTGTTGTATTATAATGATACACAATAGTGGGACTTGCTGCTCCACATTCACATGTGCACACAACAGAATGTGGCCTCATCACTCCCCAGAACCTCCCCTTTGGATGCTCTTCTAGTGACCTTTTCCCACCCACATCACCATTTAGTCTTTATTTCTGTATTTTTTCACATCCTTGGGCATCTTTCCCACCCTGAGGCCTCTTCCAAACAGTATGGTACTGGTGTAAGGTGGACATTCCCCACCTTCTCCCCATCTCAGATGTTACCTCTGTGAGCAGATTTCTGTGCCAGATTCCAGTTCAGCTGCATCTTTGTCTGATTCAGACTCAAGGTGACATTACCATCTCTTCGCTTCTGCACTTTTACAGACAGTTCTATGAGTTGTAGGAAGAAGAAGAGTTATGTTAGGAATATATATGTGTATATGTGAATATTGTATATGTACACATATGTCTCATGATATACATGTATTTGTTGAACTTCCCATTTACTATAATCACACATATATTCAAGTGTATAAAAGACACATATATATGTTTATATTATTTTGTAACCTCAGATTTCATATATATGTGTGTGTATATATATATATATATATTGTGTGTGTACATGAGTGCATACACAGTTGTATATGAAATCTGAATTATGAAGAATTTTAACAGTAGGAGCAATTTTGCACCAACAAACTAGAAAACTTAGAAGAAATGGACAAATTCTTAGGGACGCAGAAACTACTAAAACTGACTCAAGAAGAAGTAGAAAATCTGAAGAGACCTATCACGGGTAAAGGGATTGAAGCAATAATGAAAAACCTCCTAAATGCATATCTGAAATCAGATGGTTTGATTGTGAAATTCACCAACAATATAGGCAAGAATGAACATGAATTCTTTTAAAACTCTTTCAGATAACAGAAGAGGGGACACCACTTGGTAATTACTGGAGGCCAATATTACTCTGATGCAAAAACCAGATAAATATATCACAAGAAAAGAAAATAAGAGACTTTATTGCTTATGAACACAATCTGTAACAAACTATTAGGAATCAATTTATCTAAGAAACTCAGGACTTGTACTTAGAGAACTATAGAGGGTTTTGAAAGGAGACCCTAAATGAAGGGAAAGACACCTCATGTTCATGGATTGGGAAACATTATATTGGTAAGATGGAGACACTCTCCAAAGAGATCTACAGGGTCAATGTCATCCCTATCCATGTCCCAACAGCTCATTAACAATATAATTTGCTTAAATGGAAAACTCACCTTAAAACTAACACAGCATTGCAAGAGATCCAAGTAGTTAAAGCGTGGCTGAAAAGAGCAACAAAGGGGGAGGACTCACACTTCCTGATTTCAGAACTGACGGCAAATGAGCAGAGCCCAAATCAGCGTGGTACTGGCATGAAGACAGAGGGAAAGGTGAGCCCAGAAATAAACCTGCACCTCTGCAGTTAAGTGCCTTTCAACCAGGGGACCAAGACTATTCAATGGGCATAAGAACAGTCTCAAGGAAAAAGAAGGAAGTGGACCCCTACCTCACACCACAACAAACAGATTAACTCAAAATAGAACAAAGGCCTCAATCTAAGAACTGAAGCCCATAAGAAGACCTTGGATTTGGCAATGGATTGTTAGATATGATTTTGAATGTACAGCAATGAAGGAGAAAGTAGATAAAGTAGACATCCTCAAAATTGAAAACGTGACATTAAAGTGGAACGATTATCACAGATGTGAAAAGATAATCCATAGAATGGAGAAAGCATTTCCAAGTTGCACATCTCATAATAGTCTCCTGTCAAAATAGATGAAAAGCTCTTACAACTCAACAACCAAAGGACCAACCCAATCACAAATGCACAAAGGATCTGAACAGACATTTCTCCAAAAAGATACACAAATGGCCCAGATGCACATGAAAAGATGCCAACCATCACCCATCAACAGGGAGATGCAACTCAAACCGGCAATGAGACATCGCCTCATATACAATAGAAAGTCCTTGATAAAACCAAACATGATGAAAGTAACACTTTTTGTCAAGGCATTGGAGAGGGGACCCTTGCACCCCTCTGGTGTAATATACAACAGTGCAGCCACTTTGCAAACAGTCTGGTGGTTTGCCCCAAATTTGAACACAGAATTACCATGGTTACCTGGCAAGTCTACTTCTCAGTAGATACTCCAAGAACTGCAAATAGTTATTCAAACAAATACTTATACATCAATATCTTAGCAGCACTATTCACAATAGCCAAATGGTAAAACCAACTCAAATGTTCATCAGTGGCTGAGTGGGTCAACTCAACACCCATAGGATGGAATAATATTCAGCCACGAAAAGGGATGGAGTGATGCTATGCCATGCTCAACAGCATTATTCTAGGTGGAAGAAGCTAGATGGACAGGTCACACTTTGCTTTACACTAAATGATAGAATAGGCAGCTCCATTAAGACAGCAAGCAGGTAAGTGGATGCCAGAGTTGGGGGGTGGGAATGAGGAATGATAGCCGAGTAGGCACTGTGTTTAATTTTGGAGAAAAATGTCTTAGAAATGGAGGTGATGGCTGCATCAGTTTGTGAATGTTCTTGATTCCACTGAAATGTAGAACTGATGGATTTTATTTACATATTTATTTTTTGGTGAATGATAAGTGATGAACTTAAATGGTGAATTTTATGTGATGTGAATTTTACCACAATGAAACAAAGCATACTGAAAAAGATTCATTTGTATTCTTCCATATTAGTTTTTTGAATCTGTTTCTATTTTGCTACCTAAATGTGTACTATTTGTAGTTTTCTGCCTTTTGCACTGTTGTGATTATTTATGTGAGTCACGCTGAGGTACAGTGTGGCCACTAGCTCTTGTGGGGTCAGAAGAGGATGAGGCAATGAACAGGGGCTGGCACAGACCCAGGGACTTACGTGTGCCTGCAGAATAATTGAAGGTTGCTGTCCCCTCAGGCAGACCCCTGCTCAGGTATCTCAGGGCACTCTCCAGACCTGTCAGCAGGTGAGTGGCCACACAGTGCTTCTGTGAGGAGGGCAGGGTCTCCAGGTCCCCAGGGGTCTCCAGCAGCTCATCCACCTCCTGCATTAGCCCCTGGAGAGATGGGGGCACAGAGCAGATGGACTCGGGCCAGAAGCACCACACAAAGAGCTTGACCACTCAGCCCCAGAGAGCAGACCCAGACACTGTCCAGTTGGGGATAGAGAGAGGATGGTTTAGGACTCCCTGGGTGGCCCGTTATCCTAACAGATAAGCCCATGTTCTTGACAGTCAAGGATGACAAAGACCAAGATCAGAGCAAGAGGACAGACAGTGCACGTGGGAGTCCAACAGTGTGTGTGGCTCCCAGTGACCTCTTCCACCTGCCCTGGGAAAGCGGCCAGCTCAGAGCAGGGCCCCACTGTGCTTGGGCCTATTCCCCTCCCCCTAGACCAAAGCTACTCCTCTCCCTCTATGGGAGGTCTCCAACAGCTTCCCCTGGATCCTGCCCTTACCTGAATGGTGTCCTTGGCCATGGCTGACTTTAAATTCTTTTGCAGATTGTTGACTTTGTCAAAGAAGCGGGAGAGACTCTGGGGAGGTGAGATGAGTGGGTCACAAGTGGGTGGGACACTCAGGGCCAAAGGGTGGACAGGGTGCTGCCCCAGGGATCCCCACCTCAGTTTCCTGGCTGGGTGGCTCACCTCGCTGTGGACTCCAGGGGACAGAGGCCAGGTGAAGAAGGGCTTGACTGCAGGGACAGGACAGTGGTTCATTAGGAGGAGTGCAGGTGTGCGTGTGTGGGTGTGTATGAGCATGTGCATGTGGGTGTGCACGTGTGTGTGAGGTGGGGGAGGTTCTAGGGTCAGGGTGGGCCGGGTACCTTTGCAGATCTCTTTGTAGAAGCCATTGTGTCTCCCAGGAATTGGCTCCCAGCCTGGGCGGCATTGGCACAAGTAACTCCCCCAGGTGTTGGTGCAGGTGGTGGAGCGGTGGCACTTATGCTGCCTGGAGCTGCACTCGTCAATATCTGGGGACATAGAGAGAGGGGTTGGTTCCCACTGAAGCCAGGACCAGTGCTCTCCACCATCCGATCTCCACCCCCTTTTCCCCCATTAGTGCCCTGCCTGGGCTGTGGTGCTGCCACCCAGTGACCCACACCCTTGTGTTTGTGTCGAGGAGTGTGCAAGCCCTGGTGTGCCCCAGGCTTGCCGTGTACTGATGCAGGTTGTGAGGCTGCAGAAATATGTCCTCCCAGGTAGGTTTTTGCTGCTGCTCAGGACCCTCAGGAGCCTCCTGTCAGAACCCCTGTTCCTTTCCCAGGACCCAGATCTTTCCATACAGCCCTCTGGATCCTTTGGCCAAGGCATGTACACATGGCACAATGTGCACCCATAGGGACCTTGTGTCCTCAGAGTCACCTTGATCCCCAGTTTATCCCTGTGTACCTCCTACATTCATGCAACTTCCCTTTTCCCTCTGTGTACTTGGCACTACCATCTTCTCCGTGGGTCAGTCCTGGCTCCTGCCCACCCACTGCTGTATTCCACCTGGCCCCATGGATGCTGGAAGCAGATTTCTTTGCCTAACCACCTTGCCCTGGAAGGAGGCAAATCCTGCTCATGCATGGAAGTTACTCCTCCTGGGAATCATGGTGTCAAGCCAGACCATGGCAAGGACCAGAGCAAGTTGTGTGGAACTAGCTTTCTTCTGAGTGGCAGGGACATGGCCCCCAGGAAGACCAAACCCTCTGAGCAACTCTTTAAATGGGTGCAGATGTGCTCATCTTTAAACACATAAGAAGAGTCCAGCACCCACCATGTGCCAGGCTCTCTTACAGGCACTTGTAATTTTCATAATCCTCCTGGAAGACACAGGAGGTAGGCACTGTTATGATCACCTTCATGATACAGATGGGTAGACCAAGTTCAAAGACAGGTAGTGATTTGACTAATAACATGCAGCTAACAGGTGCAACAGGCAGGTTTTGGACCCAGGCAGCCAGTCACAGAGCTGGCCCCTGGCATTCATGCTACCCTGCGTCTGTGCTTGGTGACAGGTACATGCACACCTGCCTGTCTCAGACCAGGGCACCACTCCTGTAACCAGGGTTGTGCCTTCTAGATGTCACAGGAAAGGGTCTGGCAACCTCAACCCTGATGATGGGGAGGTGGGGAATGGCCTACCTTGCAGCTGTTCTCCTCTCATTAATAAAGGATTCTTGGCTCCAGAAATGGGCACACAGCCTGGGCTGCACGTGCAGCAATTGTGCCCTGTATGATCTGGCCGTCTGCAGATTTTCCACAGAGCACACTCATGGCCCTCATTTGGTGATGTCTGCAACATGACAGGTCAAAGGCTCACCTCCCAATGTTGTCCTTTCTCTCAGGGAAGAGACCCTGGTTCTCAGCCTGACCCTGCTGTGAGACACACACAGACCTAAGACCCCAGGTGGACCTCCTGAGCCGGGTTACTCTGGAAGTCCCAGGACCACTCTGCTCTCTAGAGCAGAGCCCAAGGACATGTGGGTTCAGATTCTGTGCCACGGTGGGGCCTGGCAAGGGATCTACAAGTCCTCTCCATCCTGGAGTGGCAGAGGGAGGCCCAGCCATTCCATGGACCCTCCCCTCTAGGAATCTTTGCACCACTGGGGTCCTACAGGTGGTCTACGCTCAGGGAGAATGTGGCAGTGATGGCCACTCTTGATGCCTAAGCAGTGGGGGATGGGAGATCATGGCCAAGGGCTTCCCAGAATGACACTCAAATTAACACCTGAGGGTAAATCCAGGTGCTCAGAAACAGAGCAAAGCTGGGCACATCCCATGACTTGACCTCAGAATCTGCTGGGAAACTGTAGTGACAACACTGTGTGGTTCTGTATGGGGACACACACAGCCACGGAACAGAACAGACAGCCCAGTGAAACCCACGTATTTCCAGCTGATTGTTGATGAAGGTGTCAAGAGCGCACAATGGGAAGGACTCTTCAGTAAAAGTCTGGACATGCCAACCAGAAGGACATCAGACCCTCCCCTCACACCACACAAAAATCACCTCAGATTAAATAGTGAAGGTCAGATTGGACCTGCCCAGCTGCTTAGCGGAGAGCACGGGGAGAGCTGCGTGACGGTGGCCTGTCAGTGATGGTTTGGACGGGACCCAAGGCACAGGCAGCAAAATACAAACGGACCAAGGGCATCATAGCCAACTAACAGCTTTTGAAAAGAAAAGGAAACAGTGGACAGAGTGAGGGACAACTCAGGGAACGGGAGGCACACTCACAAGCCACGCATCTTATTAGGTGTTAATATGCAAAGTACCATGAGGAGCTTGATCAAGCAACTCAGCAGTAAGAAACCCGCTCACCCCATCCGCAAATGGGCAAGTGACCTGAACAGAGGCTTCTCAAAGGACAACAGGAGAAGGGCCCAGAGGCCCAGGAGAAATCCCCCGCCATTGAGAATCCTCAGGGTACTAGAAATGAACTGTAGTGAAATGTCACCTCACACCTGCTGGGTGGCTGTTGGGGAAGCCAGATGGGCACACAGTTGGCCAGCAGTCAGAGCAAAGAACGATGTGCCCACCATGGCTGGGAATGTAAGTGAGCCCCACTATGATGGAAGGCAGTGGGGATGGTCCTCAGATATTAAAAATAGAACTGCATGGGATCCAGAAATCCTTCTTCTCAGTTTGCACGCAAAGGAAACCAGATCAGAATATTGATCTGACCTTTATCTATCAGCAGAGAGACGTGCATGCTTCATGTTGTAGCACTATTCACAATAGCCACGCTCTGGAGTCAACCGAGGTGTCCATCCATCCACAGGAGGATGAATTAGAACACCCACCCACAGTGGGGTCCTATTCAGCCTTAAAAGGGGAGGAAACTCTGTCAATGACAACAACACAGGTGAACCTGGAGGACATTATGTTAAGTGAAATAAGCCAGGAAAAGAAGGACAAATACCACACGATGTCACCTCCACATGGGACCTGTACAGTCAAACTCCTGGAAGGAGAGGGTAGCATGATGTTTCCCAGGGGTCAGGGCAACAGGAGGGGGTTGGAGAGATGTGCACCCAAGGCACAAAACTTCAGGTAGGAGGAGCTAAGTTCAAAAGATCTATTGTTCATATTTATTTATTTTTGGTACCAGGGATTGAAGACAGTATACTCTACTACTGAGCCACATCCCCAGCCCTTTCAATTTTTATTTTGAGGCAGGGTCTCACCAAATTGCTTAGGGCCTTGCTTGCTAAGTTGCTGAGGCTGGCTTTGAACTTAAGATCCTCCTGTCTCAGCCTCCTGAGCTGCTGGATCCCAGGTGTGCACCACTGGGTCTGGCCAATGTTCTATATTCTTGAAAATCACTAAGGGATTAGATTTGAAGTGTTCTTACCACAAAAATCAGCACCTGAGGCATTGCATATGCTAATCAGCTCCATTTAGCCATCCCAGTGTGCATACATGTTTCAAAATATCCTTCTGTACCTGATCAATATGTACAATATTTTTATTTGTCAATTAAATAAATACAGAAAAAAAACAGGAATATATTCCTGGAGAGGGATGACTGAGATGCCTG